AGTGTGAGTGAGTATATATGGGGTATAGTGAGTGTGAGTGTATGTGGGTGTACTGAGTGTTCACCCTTTTGCCTCAGTTCCCTCCTCAGGTCCCAGGAGTTCATTCTGTGTCAGTATTCTCTGTTCCGAGGTCTGTGGCTCAAGGTGTGGCTCAACTGTGAGACAAAGCAGGAGGAGGTTCCTGTGAGGATTAAGCTAGTGTTTGAGGACTGTCATAATAAATTACCACAAACTAGTTGGCTTAAAACAAACATTTATAGCCAGGCAGTGGTGGCACACGCCTTTAATCCCAGCACTTGGGGAGACAGACGAAGACAGGTCTCTGTGGGTTGGAGGCCAGCCTGGTCTACAGAGTGAACTCCAGGACAGCTGGGGCTACACAGAGAAACCCTGTCTGGAAAAACCAAAACAACAACAAAACCCCTCAAGTATTTCATTCTCTCACAGTTCTGGGAGCCCGATGTAGGAAATCATGGTGTGTGAGCAAGGCGAGCTTCCCTCACGGTGCTCAGAAGTCTGAGGCAGGAAGGTTCAGAGTACCAGGCTAGCCTGGACTACGTAGTGAGACTCTGTCTCAAAATAAAAATTTTGCCGGGCGGTGGTGGCGCACGCCTTTAATCCCAGCACTCGGGAGGCAGAGCCAGGCGGATCTCTGTGAGTTCAAGGCCAGCCTGGGCTACCAAGTGAGTCCCAGGAAAGGCGCAAAGCTACACAGAGAAACCCTGTCTCGAAAAACCAAAAAAAAAAAAATAAATAAATAAATAAAAAATAAAAATAAAAATTTTAAGAGGGTCGAGAATGTGTCAGTAGAAGCTCACTTGCCTAGTTTGTGTGAGGCCATTAACAGCACCCCAACATTAGAGAGGAACAATAGCTAACTGGTCTCCTACAATTTATACCAGTCCCCCACTGAGGCCTTCGATAGGCATTGGTTCACAGACACTCATTCTGCCTGTAAACCACACACAGCCCTGCCCTTTTTTGTATGTGTTCATGTGTCTGTGTGTTTGCCCATATGTGTGCACATTGTGTGGAGGCCAGAGGTTGATGTTGGGGGGTTCTTCCTCAGTCCCTCCTACCTTTAATTTTACGATTATTTTATTTGGATAGGTGTTTTGCCTGTATGTATATCTGTGTGCCAGGTACATGTCTGGTGTCTGAGGAGGCCAAAAGAGGGCATCACATCTCCTGAAACTGGAGTCACAGACGGTTGTGAGCTACCATATGGGTGCACAGAATGGAACCTGGGTTCTCTGAAAGAGCAGCCAGTGCTCTTAACTGCTGAACCATCTCTCCAGCCCCTCTACCTTATTTTTGGAGACATAGCCTCTTACTTAAACTGGAACTTCCCAATTGACCTGACTGGCTGGCCGGTGGTCTCCAGGGGCCCTCCTGCTGTATCTGGCTTTTATGTGGCTTCTCGGGATCTGAGAGCAGGTCATCATGCTTGCTGTGGAGCAGGTGCTCTACCCCCGGGACATCCCCACAGTCCTGAGACTCACCATCTTAATGATCGCCATAACTAACATACAGAGGACTTGGAGAGAAGTACTTGCTCAAAGTTTCTCCTTTCAGTCTGGGCTTTGAACCTGACCTTTGACTTGGTAAGTCTTTGGAAGTGAGGAAGATGAGGCACGGGGAAGAGAGGCTGGACTGCTTCTCTTTGTGGATACAGGTCAAAGTGAAGCAGGCTGCTTTGGGGAGATGGGGCAGAGCTGAGACACGGCGGGGCATTTTTTTTTTTTTTTAACACCAAGGAAAAAATATCAAAGACAGCATGAAAGTTCAGCAAGCCACCTTAGTTCCTGGCTAGATAAGGAAGCCAAGTTAAAAGCAGGGACAGAGAAACTTGCTGCACAGTAAGTCTGAAGCCCTAGAAAGACCCCTGAATTCACAAATTTCGCTTTCAACTATTTTTAGCAGTATAGTGTTGGGAAAGAGTTGAGCCAAAAGGAGCCTAGTGTGGTGCCTTCTGGGCATTTGTTTCTGGGGTGGGCAATGGCCTGGCAGTGGTGGGGCACATGAAAAGGCTTGGAAGGGAGACACGGTCCAATTTGTCAGTCTAAACAAATTAGTGACTGAGCTGTTGTTGACAAGGGCCCAGGAGAGAGCCTTTCAGGTGAGTCATCATAGATCATTCTCGAGTTGCAAATCCAGCTTTGCAGCCCAAAAGCCTGAACCGTGTTGGGACTTGATTTCTGTTCGAGATAGGCTTTTTAGCCCAGGCTAACACCTATCTCACTGTGTAGCTGTAGATAACTTTGGGCTTCTGATCCTCCTGCCTCTACCTCCCAAGAGCTGGGATGACAAACACCCCCGCCCCCATACCTGGTTTATGTAGTACTTGGGCATGAACCCAGGGTGCCAGCCAGACTGCCGACTGGGTTACATCTCCATGACCTTTTAAGGTTCTAGAAACTGCCCCAAATTGATTATCTCCCTCTCAAGTGATGATGCATTTGTGTCTGCTGCTCTGTGTGTATTCCTGGTGGTTGAATTACAAGAAAACTACATAATCGTTGGACCTTTTTCTTTTTCTTTTTCTTTGGTTTTTTTGAGACAGGGTTTCTCTGTAGTTTTGTGCCTTTCCTGGAACTCACTTTGTAGACCAGGCTGGCCTCGAACTCACAGAGATCCACCTGCCTCTGCCTCCCAAGTGCTGGGATTAAAGGTGTGCGCCACCACCGCCCGGCACCTTTTTCTTTTTTAAGATCTGTTTTTAATTCTTTTTCTCTCTGTGCCTCCGTGTGTGCATCCCCACAGAGGCCAGGAGATGTCATTGGATCCTCCAGAGTTACAGGTGGATGCTGGGAGTTGAACTGGGGTCCTCTGAAAGAGCAGCAAGCACTTCTAACTTCCGAGACATCTCTCCAGCCCCAGGAGATGGATCTGGATTCTTGTTTTAATCCAACCAGCTAGTGTGCCCCTTTTAATGGGAGTGCTTAGACTGGTGACATTTAGGGTTATTACTGAGAGTGCTTTGTTAATTCTTGTAATTTTGATAGTTGTTTCAGTCCATTAAAAAAAAATAGCTGTGAATCCTTGTACAAATGAGTTCTTTTGTGTGCAGAGCAGATAACAACTGTTGGGAGTTGACTCTCTCTTTCCATCATGGACGTCCTGGAGAATCAAACTCAGGTCAGCAAGCTTGGTGGCAAGCAGCTCCACCAACTGTGGTAGTTTGAATGTAACTGGCCCCCTAAGCTCAAAGGGAGTGGCATTATTAGGACGCCCGTGGTCTTATTGGAGGAAGTGTGTCACTGTAGGGGCGGGCTTTGAGGTCTCCTATGCTCGAGCTATGCCCAATGTCTCAGACCACTTCCTGTTTCCTTTGGATCAAGATGTACTACCTCCTTCTCCAGCACCAAGTCTGCCTGTGTGCTGCCATGACCCACCACGATGATAATGGACTAAACCTCTGAAACTGTAAGTCACCCAATTAGATGTTTTCTTTTATGAGAGTTGCCATGGTCATGGTGTCTCTTCCTATCAATAGAAACCCTAACTAGCCGGGCGGTGGTGGTGCACGCCTTTAATCCCAGCACTCGGGAGGCAGAGCCAGGCGGATCTCTGTGAGTTCAAGGCCAGCCTGGACTAACTAGTGAGTCCCAGTAAAGGCGCAAAGCTACACAGAGAAACGCTGTCTTGGGGAAAAAAAAAAAAAAAAAAAAAAAGAAAGAAACCCTAACTAAGATGCCAGCTGAGCCATCTCATTGGCCCTCCAAATGCCTAGATTCGTAGCTCAGGTTGGAAGAATGGAGCTTAGTGTGTTATGATGGGTCTTGGGGAAACAGGTTGTCCAGTGAGGGGAGCAGGGAAAGAGGTAAGCAAGCCCTAGAGCTAGTGTTGAGTGGGCCCTTGTCCCAGCATGGTTTCAGTATCACAACCTATATTTTCCTGCTCACCTATCAGTTGAAACAAAGGAGCCTCAGACCAAATGAGGACGCAGACTCAGTGGGCTAGGAAAGCAGTCCCAGGAGGTTTGGGAATGGATTTCATATGCTTTACAGTGTTAAAGGTTGGGAGATGCCCAACATTTCATAAGGACTCTGTGAAAACAAGAGAATGACTGTCTCTCACTGTCCATGGCTTAAACCAAAATGGCACACCTTTATCCATATGCAGGCCGCCCTTAAAATGCTGTGGGGGAGCTGAGCAGTAGTGGCACATGCCTTTAATCCCAACACTCGGGAGGCAGAGGCAGGCGGATCTCTGTGAGTTCGAGGCCAGCCTGGTCTACAGAGCAAGTTCCAGGACAGGCTCCAAAGCTACACAGAGAAACCCTGTCTGGAAAAACCAAAATAATAATAATAATAATAATAATAATAATAATAATAATAATAATAATAGTAATGCTGTGGGGAAGGGCTGGAGAGCCAGCGCAGGGGTTTAGAGCACCTGTTCTTGCAGAGGACCGAGGACTGATAACCAGCACCCACATGGAAGCTCATGAACACTTGTGACTCTAGTTCCAGGGAATCCTACCCCCTCTTCTGACCTCTGCAGGCACCAGGATTGCACATGGTGCACAGACATATGGGCAGGCAAAACATCCATAGACACAAAATAAATAAAAATCCACTGGAGAAGGATTCTAGAATCTTCCTTGGTGCTCAAGTTCTTTTTTTTGTTTTTTTGTTTTTTTGTTTTTTTGAGACAGGGTTTCTCTGTGTAGCTTTGTGCCTTTTCCTGGATCTCGCTCTGTAGACCAGGCTGGCCTCAAACTCACAAAGATCCACCTGCCTCTGCCTCCTGAGTGCTGGGATTAAAGGCATGCGCCACCACCGCCCGGCAAGTCTCTTTTACTAGGTGGCATAAGATTCACTTATACACCACGACCATTCTTCCATATACTTTACATCATGTCGTGGTTGTTTACAATCCCTAACACCTAACGTTATGTATTAAAGTTATTATGAGGTCTTTTCTAGGTTAATGACAAGAAAAAAAAATCTATACAGAGAGCACAGTCAACCCCCCCATCCCCTTACCCCCATTTACGCGTGCTTCCAATTTTCAATTCAAGACTGGTTGGATCCGTTGATGTGGACAACAGGGTAGCGGACATGCTCTTCTCCTTTTAACTGTACAGGTAGAATTTGCTTTCTTCCTGTCTCTACTCAGTTTCCTGTGAATCCTCTTCCTTTGCTGGCGGGGACACAGGGGACATGTATACTTTGGGAACCCACACAACCTTGATTTCCTGCATGTCTTCTGAGCTCATCATGCCCTGGGATTACATGTCAGCGTTTCATACTGGACTGACTTGCTCCTCTAATTCACCCCACTGATGAAATTCGTACTCCTGAGACTAAGCCCATTTTTTGACCGTCAGCCAGAAGATTTTGAGAGACGGTCATTCTAGAAACTAAGAAATGAGTTGCGGGTTTTCATCCAGGACTGGCTGTATTATTAACCTTGGTTTAGGAAATCCAAGGCTGTGAGTGGCCCGAGGGCATGTGTTCTCAAGGTGAATTTACTCACCTGGTCATTCCTTCCCTCCAGCATTTTCACTGGTGTAACAACAAGAGTAGTTTGCTCCTCTGTGATAAAGATCGTGACCAAATAAACCTGGGGAGGAGAGGGTTTATTTCAATTTGCAGGTTACAGTTTATCATTGAGGGAAGCTAAGGCAAGCACTCAAGTCAGGAACCTGGAGGCAGGAGCTGACGCAGAGGCCATGGAGGGGTGCTGCTTACTGGCTTGCTCTCCATGGTTTGCTTAGCCTGCTTTCTGATAGAACCCAGGACCTCCGTCCCAGGGACGGCCCCACCCGCCATGGGCTGGGCCCTCCCCCATGAGTCACTAATTAAGAAAATGCCCCACAGGCTTGCCTGCAGTCTGAACTTATGGAGGCATTTTCTTAATTGAGGTTCCCTCCTCACAAATAGCTTTAGCTTGAGTCAAGTTGACATGAAACTCTCCAGCACAGCAGAGTACAGGCAAGCTGCCCACCTCACAGTGGACCATAGTCTTCAAAATCTTGTCCCCAGGACCTCCTCCCCAAAGCAGTCTCTACCTCTTAAGTTCCTTCACTCCTCAACAACGCCATGAGATTATGAATTAATCTGTGGGTTAGTCTACTGATGAAATCAGAGTCCCTAGGATTCAATGACTTCCCAAAGTCCATCAGTTGACAGTGAAGCCTTCATCGCAGAGAGAGCCTCTGGGGGGGGGGGGGGGGGCAATTGTAGATTCAAGCCAGGACACCCAGCCCCAGCATGGTAAATAAAGGTCCAGGAGGACAATTTGTACTTTGTTTAGAATTTAGAGATCACTAAAGAGGACAGAACATTGTGCGGTGTGTGGTGCTCATTTGCATGAAGCAAAGTTCTGGGCTTCTCTCAGCAAGCCCACAGTTTCCATGTGGGGCTGAGAGCCGGTTTGTGCTCTTCCAGGAAGAGGCTTGATATTATTTCTTTAACATTTAAATAATTTGGAGCCACTACCTTGGCCATGTCCTTAGACAAGGTTGAAAGGGATGTTCACATCTGTACACGAAGAGAAAGTGGTCCCAGAGTAAGATTAAAGCCCTGTCTTATTCAGACTGCATAAACCCAATTTGATCACTTGAGATTTTGAGTTTAAGAATCATTGAATTCGAGGCATGGTGGTGCACGCCTTTAATCCCAGCACTGGGGAGGCAGAGGCAGGTAGATCTCTGTGAGTTCGAGGCCAGCCTGGTCTACAGAGTGAGTTCCAGGACAGCCAGGGCTACATAGTGAAACCCTGTCTCAAACAAACAAACAAACAAACAAAACTTTTGAATTTCTTTTTTATTTATTTATTTATTTATTTTTTAAAGATTTATTTTATTTTTATTATGTATACAGTGTTCTGCCTGCATGTGTCTTTGCAGGCCAGAAGAGGGCACCAGATCTAATTGCGGGTGGTTGTGAGCCACCATGTGGTTGCTGGGAATTGAACTCAGGACCTCTGGAAGAGCAGCCAGTGCTCTTAACCTCTGAGCCATCTCTCCAGCCCCTTGAATTTCTTAAGAGTAAGAAAACATCTTGGCTGATTATAAAATTCCGTGACCTCTTTACTCTACTCTACTTGAAGAAATAGCCATTTCTGGACTTGGGTTTGTTGAGGGGATCCAGACCAGAGGCTTGCCATCAACAACCCCTTTCACCCTTAAGTTGCTTTATCACAGCAGCAGGAAAGGAAACCAAGACACAGTGCATTCCCAGCATGAAAACATTTTAAAAAATGTGGGTCCTCTCTCCCTTGTGAGCTGTGTAGCCCTTTGCTAAAGTCACCACAGCTGAAACTGCCTAGACACAAGCCCTGTGGAAAGCCACGGGTGTCCTTGCTGTGGTCCATCTAAGAAATTCCGTATTGTCCCATTGCTGGTTTTTATTGTTGTTGTTCTGGTTTTTTTTCTTACATGTATTTATTTAGTGTGTGTGTGTGTGTGTGTGTGTGTGTGTGTGTGTGTGTGTGTGTGTATGAGTGCGTACTAGTACCATGTTGCACATGTTGAGGTCAGAGGATGTGGTGGTTTGAAAGAAAATGGCCCCTACAGGAGTGGCACTATTAGGAGGTGTGGCCTTGTTGGAGGAAGTGTGTCACTGTAGGGGCGGGCTTTGAGGTCTCCTATGCTCCAGCTATGCCCAGTGTCTCAGACCACTTCCTGTCGCCTTTGGATCCAGATGTAGAACTCTCAGCTCCTTCTCCAGCACCATGTCTGCCTGCACGCGGCCATGTCCCACTGTGTATAACGGGCTACACCTCCGAAACTGTAAGCCAGCCCCAATTAGATGTCTTCCTTTATTTGAGTTGCTGTGGTCATGGAGTCTCTTCACAGCAATAGAAACCCTGACTAAGACAGTGGACAGCATGGAGTTTCCCCCTTCTACCATGTGGGTTCTGGGGACCAAACTCAGTTTGTCAGGCTTGGCCGTGAACAGCTTCAACTGCTGAGCCGTCTCACTGGCCTGGCTTGCCCCGAGTTCTCTGTGCTAGTGTGTCAATGCATCCAATTCATCTGTCCGATAAACATCATGACAGACATGATGGTGAGGTGCAGTCTCTCCACAAGAGACATTGTTTTAGGCTTTCTAGATAAAACAAGAGAGCGAGGCAGACTGAGTCCTCATCTCCGAGAAGCTTGAGGAGCAGAGGCCATGGGGAAACAAAATGAGTCCAGTACAGGGCTGTCTCTCCAGTCCTATAAAAAGGAGTTTTAAAAAGTGATGAGGGCTGGGCGGTGGTGGCGCACGCCTTGAATCCCAGCACTTGGGAGGCAGAGGCAGGCAGATTTCTGTGAGTTCGAGGCCAGCCTGGTCTACAGAGTGAGTTCCAGGACAGGCTCCAAAGCTACCCAGAGAAAGCCTGTCTTGAAAAACCAAAAACCAATTTAAAAAAAAAAAGTGATGAGGTTGGGGAGTATCTCAGTAGATGAAGTGCTTTCTACACGAGTAGAAGGATTTGAGTTCAGTCCCTAACACCGTGCAGAAGCTAGGTGCAGTCTCCTCTTGTAATCGCACTGCTGTGGAGAGGGAGGACAGGGAGAGCACATCCGGGGCCTGAAAGCCCCAGCTCAGTGGGAGACTCTCTCAAAATACAAGGTGGAGAGCATCCTGAGGAACAATACTTGAGGTCTTCCTGTGGCTTCAACACAGATGCCCACACACAGGCATGTGGACTCATGTGACTGCCCGATACACTTGTGTGCATGCACAATAAAAGTGTGTGGTGTGTGTGTGTCCCAAAGTCATTAAAGGCAAAATAACATTGATTTTTAGAATTTTGCACTTGGTGTATTTAATATTTTCATTTGCACAGCCGCACAAAATGAAAACAGCAGACATTTTATGTAAAACAGAATTCAGCTCTACACTGGGGCCTTTTATTTTTCCTTTTATATGTTCGGCTCATCTATTTGAATGCTGATGGAAGGAATGTTGTCAATGTTTGTATAGCCCAGGTTGTGGTTACATCAGGGTGTAGCACATGACCCTCACAGGAAAGGGAGGGACCTTGGGAAACAGAAACTCCCCCTTTTGGATCTGTCCATTGTGTGTGGCGGGGATAGAAATTTCTAGAAGAGAGTTCTGCTATCCCTGCCAAGTTGTAGCTGCATAAACATATGTCAGACAAGCTGTTTTTCGGGAGTCAGCTCATCCCTTGGTGTCACTGTGCACAGTGAGCTACTAAAGATACCACAGGCTCAGGGCTGACGTCAAGCGGATATGAGCCGCTCCGCAGCTGATTGCTCCGAGTCCCAAATTGGAAACATGAGCTTGCCCACAGAAGATGGTCCAGCTCCTCTCGACAAGCGGATCCTCACATGCTCCTCACGGTCATTTGTTTGAAAAAGCTCAAGTGACTCTTCATTGTCCCAGCGGCTGTGTGAGGTAGTTTCTCAGAAGAGAACCCAAACCAAAAACAAGAACAAAGCCCGGCAACCTGACAAAGGGCAGAACCAAGAGGAGGAACCTTTCCCGATGGCGGCCCCAAAGGATCAAGTACAGAAGGGTCAAGCGGGTCCGAGGCTGACAAAGAGATGAGGTTCCCAAAGCAGCGGCCACATTTTCGGGAGAGTGGCCGTGCTGGGTTATTTTTAGAACAAAATGTAATGAATGACATATGCACAGGATGCCCTCTGGGACTCATGTTAATTCCTGCCCTTTTTTAGCCTTTGCCCCAGTTTCTCTAATTTTAAAAAAAAACAAAAACTGTATTGTGTATTTTCACAAAGTTCTGAGAATCCCAGATGCTGTGAGGTATTAATAAGTAAAAAACCACCATATTTCAAGCATTAATGAAGACTTTGCACATTTTTCTTTGTGGTGTTGGGGATTAAACCTAAGACCTCCCCGCCCCCACCCCATGGTAGTCTGAATGTAATTGGCCCCAGATAATCCCATAAACTCATAGGGAGTGACACTATTAGGAGGTGTGGCTTTGTTGGAGTGGGTGTGGCCTTGTTGGAGGAAGTGTGTCACTGTGGAGGCGGGCTTTGAGGTTTCATATACTCAGGATATCACCCAGTGTGTCAGTCAACTTCCTGTTGCCTCTGAGTCAAGACGTAAGGACTCTCAGCTCCAGCACCATGTCTACCTGCACGCCACCATGCTCCCCACCACAATGATAGACTGAACCTTTAAAACTGTAAGTGAGCCACCTCAATTAAATCTTTTCTTTATAAGAGTTGCCATGGTGAAGGTGTCTCTTCACAGCAATAGTAAACCCTAAGACACCCCTCCCCCGCAATGAGCTAAACCCTTGGCCCTGTGGTAGATTAGTTTCTGTGATTCACTTAAAATATGCAAATCAAATACCCCAGTTGAATATTAACACAAACATTTCTGATTCCTGAAATCAAGATGTAAAGCAGCAGTTCTCAACCTGTGGGTCATGACCACTGGAAAATACATATTTCCGATGGTCTTAGGAACTGAGATACCTCTCAGTAGCAGAACTACAGTTATGAAGTTGCAACAAAAATACATTTATGTTGGAGGTTCCTAAGACCATCAGAAATACATATTTTCTGATAGTCATGACCCATGGGTTGAGAACCACTGGTGTAAAGGGTTATTCCAGGAAGGCTGGAGAGATGATTCAGTAGTTAAGAGTGATTGCTGTACAATCATAAAGACTAGACTTTGGATCCCAGTCTCAGGACCAAGATAACCAGGTAGGTGTCTCACAAATGCCAAAGGGAGCAGAAGTGTGAGAAGTTCTGGGGCTTCTTGACTTCTAGCATTAGCAAGGAAAATGTGAACCCCAGGTTCAGGGAGAGATCCTGCCTCAAAGAAATGTGTGGACAGTGATGAGGACACCTGATGCCCTCTTCTGGCATCTTTGTATGCACACAGGCATGTGTGCATCTCTTCCACATGTGTACACACTCAGGTACACACACACACACACACACACACACACACACACACACACACACACAGCAAAATATCTTGCTGTTGAGATGATTCAGCTAGTAAAGGCTCCTGACCCCAAGGCTGACAAACTGAATTCCATCCCTAGAACCCAAATGGTAAAAAGAGAGAACCCACTCTCACAAATTGACCTCTGGCACATTTTACGCAACACGACACACACACACACACAAATAAACACATGGAAAATAGATCTCTCAAGAATTTTTCTACTGCCTATCATCTATCTATCCATCCATCCATCTATCATCTATCTACAAATTACATATCTGATCTTATTGAACAAACGCAGTCAGGCGTTTACAGATGCCATACAGTGACATTCAAAACCAGACTCAGAAACCAGCCCCGAGTTGAGGCGCACCTCTTCTTGTCATGGGTCCTCACCATCCTGTGTATATTCACACGTGCTTGCTAAAGGATGGAAGAAGTGGCCACTGGTCAGAGAAATGAGCTAGGCAGCACAGGTAGCCCAGTTAGAGAGAGAACGCTCATCTCAGCGCGTGAAGGACGTCCGAAAATCAAGGCTTCCTCTATGGTGTTAAGGCCTCAAATCACATAGCCTGGCCAGAGGTCACCTTTGTTTTCAAAGGCTGTGTGTGGGCTCATGGATCACACTGCCTGCTTGGAGGTCCACACTGTGGCCTTGTCTTCCCCTGCCATGGAGCCCTGGGCAACACCTTGTTCACACTCCAGAGCCTCGGCCTCTTCATTTCTATAATGAGGATGGTGGTACTTACCTGACAAAGTGGGAAGATGGAATCACGTCTGTTCGGTGGCTGCCACGGAAAAAGGCGCTGATCTGTGTGGGTGGCGATTTGTAAGTAGATATGGCTTTAAGAGCTGTGGAACGTAAGATGGTGTTGTAGCCTAAAACTGCCACAAGTACCTGCCCAAACAGGCTATGTTTACCTCAACCCAGCTTTCCAGGATATATTTACCTCCACCCAGCTTTCCTTCTCGTATCTTTTTCTGGTTCGGAAGATCGTACCCGCGGCCTCACGCGTGCTGAACAGGCACTGTCTCAACGAGCTACAACCTCAGCTCTAGGCTAACGTTTCTGCAGCAAATCTGGCTGTGCCTCAGCGAAGCAGTGTGACCAAGGCTTGATTCTAGATGATTATAAAGTTGTTTTGAAGACTGACAGATAGATTTTCGAAGTCAGCTGTGCGGTGGAGTCTGACTGCAGATAGCTGAGTGGTGTGAGCACATTTTTGGCTGATGGTAGGAGATCTGAGAGACGTTTGTCACGTCCTGGACACTGAATTTGGCTCCTTCAGGAAACTAGCAAGTGATGTCTTGCCTTGCTTTCAACATCCAGCTGGAGTCACGGCATTTCTTTTCATTCATTAGACTCTCATTGAATAAGCCATTCCATGGTTCGATGGAAACGCATTTAATGAGGCTTAGCAGAGCAGCGTTTTAATATTCCTTTGGAGACTGATTTTTTTTTTCCACCAGGAGCAAACAACTTTTCATTTAACCTAATATTATCACCTAACTCAACCAGAAGTTATTTAGGAAATAGCCAGGCCATATGTCACTTTATAAAATGGGGAAATTGAACGTCTGATGCTAAGTGCTGCCTGCCCCAACTGCTCTCCAGGGCTCTGACTTCCTGGCTCCCTGATCTTTCTCCGGTTAGAGAGAAGACAGAAGCAAATCCTCCTTTATGAAGGGAGTCTGAAGGCTTATTAATCACTCTCTGATCATCATATCCTGGTGCTCATCTGCCGGCACCCTGTAATCAGCAGTTAAACGAGTGTGAAGAAGAGCAGAGGGCCAGGCCTGGAAATGAAGGGATGTAGATGAGGGAGGTTGACTCTGAATGGTTTAACATGTTCATCTCCATAAATGATATCTTCCTCAGTGAGGTGGCCATGTGCAGTGGGGGAGAGGTCAATGCTGTGAAATAATCTTTTTTTTTTTTTTTTTTTCTTCCGAGACAAAGTTTCTCTGTGTAGCTTGGCGCCTTTCCGGAAACTCACTCTGTAGCCCAGGCTGGCCTGGAACTCACAGAGATCCACCTGCCTCTGCCTCTCGAGTGCTGGGATTAAACGGGTGTGCCACCACCTCCCAGCTCCTTTTCTACGCTATGAATATGTATTACTCTCATTGGTTAATAAAAAGCTGACAGGCCTGTAGTTAGGCAGGAAGTTAGGCAGGAAAGACAAACTGAGAATGCTGGGAAGAGGAAGGGCGGAGTCAGGAGTCGCCAGCCAGATGCAGAGGAAGCAAGATGAGAGTGCTGGACTGAGAAAAGGTACCAAGCCACATGACTAAGCATACACAGGAATTATGGGTTAATTTAAGCGTAAGAGCTAGTTAGCAGTAAGTCTGAGCTACTGGCTGAGCATTTATAAGCAATATTAAGCCTTTGAATCAATTATTTGGGAGGCAGCTCTGGATATTTGAGAGTGGCTGATGGGACAGAAACTTCTGTTTACAGGTCATGGGCTAGGCAGATAAAGGCAACGATTGTATTTATGCATGTGTGTATATATATTCACTATTGACTGATCACTTCTCCTCCTCCTCCTTTTTTTGAGACAGGATCTCATGTATCTTAGGCTGGGCTTGAACTAACCATGCATCCGAGGATGACTTTGAACTTTAGTAGGCGTGTGTAGTATGTTGGACGTGTGCGGTATGAGTGCAGGTATATGCACGGTGCCACGAGTCCATGAGTGGTGGTCAGATGACATCTTGGCCACAGGTTGGTCCTCACCTTCCCCCTGTTTGAGGCAGGATCTTCTGCTGCGCCCCTGTGTGTGCTGGGTCTGCTGGCCTGCAGTCTGCTGGGGCCTCTCCTGACTCTGGGTCTCATCTTGCAGTAGGCACACTCGGGTTATGGGTGTACATCACTGCATCCTCTCTATTACATGGATTCTGGGGATCTGAGCTCTGGCCACGTCCCTGGCCCATCCATCACATTTAGTCCTCTAGTCTTGACCTCCCACCTTCTGGGTTACAGGCAGCCCCCACCATGCCGTTTATGTGGTGCCAAGGATCAAACCTAGGGTGCTGGGCATATGAGGCAAGAGTTCAGTTGTGCTACAACCCTAGTGTCTTGAAAAATACTTTTTTTACACTGTTCCCTCCCCCCCTTCGGCTCTTTTTATGCTTTTACGTTGGAGGTACTTTACACTACCGACAAAATCCATCCAACTTATTTATTTATTTATTGTTGTGTCAGCCCTTACCACACATGTGCATTCCATGGTACATGTGTGGAGACCAGAGAACAACGTGTAAGAGTCGCTTCTCTCTTTCTACCATGTCGGGGCTGGGTATGGAACTCGGGTTGTCACACTTGGCAGTGAGTGACCTTCCCCACTGGACCATCTCTCCGGACCCCAGTTGTATTTAGTCAACTTGGAATAAATAGAAAAAAAAAGAACAGTTGCTATACAGGAAACTGATGGACATGGCTATTTTAAAAATCAACAATTACACACCAAGTTCTCGTGAGAGTAAGAAGAACACTGTCTTGAAGGGAGGTTTGAAGACCCACATGGCTGAGAACCTGGAAGAGGGTCTCATCAGAAATGAGGGAAACTGCTGGGTGATGTGACATACACACTCAGGAGGCAGAGCCAGGCGGATCTCTGTGAGTTCAAGGCCAGCCTGGTCTACAGAGTGAGTTCCAGGACAGCCAGGGCTACACAGAGAAACCATGTCTAGAAAAGCCAAAATAAGGGAAACCTTCAGTTTTTTTTTCTGTTTAAATCTTTTATTTTGTCGGAATTGTAGAGTCACAGGTAGTTTTGAGAGCTAATACAGAGAGATCCTGTGCACCCTCTACCAAATCTCCTCATCAGGAAACAGAAAATTCCAGTCCGGCCTCCCAGCCAGGATGCTGACGGTTTAGCAGCTGAAACACAGGATGTTCCCATCATCACGAAGGTCTGGCGATGCTCATCCAAAACCAGCCAATTTCCCATGCTCCCTCCTCTTGTCCCTGTACCCTGGCACAGCACAACAGTCTGCATTGTGAGTCCGTAATTCTGGTCTTTCGAAAATGTTATGTAGCCCAGCATAGAGGTTCATGCCTGTAATTTCAACAATTCGGAGGTTGAGGCAGGAGGATTGCCTTTTAGTTTAGGGCCAGGCTGGGCTACTTAGTTAGACCCTGTCTCAAAAAATATAAGGTGGTGTGGGAGCCCGTTTTCAGGTTCCTCGTGGCTTTCCCCAGCAGGTCCTCATAGAGAGGATGATTAGGACCACGGGCCTGAGTGCAGGTGTCTGGGATGGTCTGCACTTGGCTGTGCTGGGGAGGAGGTCTTTTGTTCCACCCCTTGGCATCTCTATAAATACCCTGGGGCAGAGACAGGGCTCGTTGGAAAAGGTTCCAGGCCCTGTCGAGGCTATCCTTTATTTTCTATCTGTTTATCTCCACAATCTAAATCCTTCTATCTAATATTTCCTGCTGCTCCCACTCAAGAAAACTCTGGGGGAACTGTGGGGTTGGTGGGTCAATGCCCCGCAAGGTGGGGCGGGATGGTTCAGCAGATAAAGGCGCTTGCTGCACGAGCCTGGAGACCTGAGTTCGATTCCTGAGGCCCACATAAAGGTGGCAGAAGAAAACCCCCCTCCTCAGAGTTGTCCCCTGACCCCCACACCCACCCATGCCCACATGCGCTCACCACCTCCCCTCACATACACAGTAATAAATAACCCAAGCGAGCCAACGAAACACGACATCACCACTGCGTTACTCATAACGTGTGAAGACATCGAAATGACGGAGCATGAAGACAACTTATGTGTGTACTGGGACCCGTTATGCACGAGGTGCATACCACAGAGCCCCGGCTTCTTCTCGCCGACCCTCATTCCCATCGTAGATGCCACTTTACTACATCCAGAACGCAATGCCACCTGGAGCAGAGCTCAGAAATCTGTACACTTTCTAACCTAAGAGGAACAGAGGCACACGAAAGGAGGCCGGCAAACTCCTGGGGAGAATAAACCCAGTAAAGAGTCCAGTGAGACCACCTTTGGGCATCCAACTCATTTCTCTTTATGCATAAAAGAGCTGTAAGCAACAACAGGCACTTAGAAGTAATTCCCCCACACCTCTGAGAAAACCTGAAATAATCCTCCCCTCCCCCCATCAATCGTGTATCCTTTAGATTTCCGCTTACTCGTTTAGCCCTCCAGTACAGAGTATCAGAATACTACTCTGACCTAGGGCAGATGCTGGCTCAGCTTCCACCTACACAGCGTGCTAGAGAGGTGCTGTGCTTCCTGACTGGAATGCTACAAAAATGCCCGGGCACACTTCCCTAACCGCACGGCCACTGCATTCGTGTGCACCGTGGTTCTGCGTCAAGGCACGTCCAGCTTAAAGACTGGTGGGGTTGCATTCTTGGCACAGAGCCCCGGGATAGTGTAAACAGCTGAAGTTGCCACCTCTGTAGACACCCCTGCCAGGAAGCCCGGTGTGCCGGCTAGGAGAGTGTGGTTGGAGGGCATGTGGGCATGCGTGCTGAGAGGAATTCAGAGAACAAGGTGACCCTGAAGATGAAGGAACCTTATACCGTGATCCCTGAGTCTTGTACCAATTGTCACAGAGGGGAATGAGATGAGGCAGGGGGCTGCGTTCCTGGAGAGAATGGTATGCATTTGTCAGTTCGAGTCGTGCAACCAAACACGCTATGGGCACAAAATCTCTGAGAAACAATTCATGTCTGTGTCAATTTGGACTCCGAAGTCAACTCAGAATTCCAGAATAAGAACTGCACAGGCATCCTATCATTTAAATCAATCATTTCTATTTGTAAGATGTGTCTGTGGCCGTGAGCCAAGGGCAGAGCCAGCTGGCCACTCCGTGGAGCCATCTTGAGTGGGAAGGGAATGCCAAATATTTTCTACTGGCTCCCAGGTCCAAGTTTACCCTTTTACTTCCTGACCGGTGGCCCTGGGACTGGGCCTCTGCAAACCACACCCCCTATGCTTCCCTTGCTGACTGCAGGCTGGGAGACTAGCTGGCAGTTGTAGATTGGAAGGCATGCGGTAGAACTCTTTCTAGTTCCTGCTCCCATCAGCCCTCCTATGGCAAGAGAAGATAATGACAGATCCTTTTCAGACTCTCCCGGTAGCTACAGTAGCAGCTATGGTATCCTTGGAAGTGCCAGAACTGACTCTGGTCCCCTTAGTGACGAGCACATTAGACATGTCAGAACCCATCAGAGACTAGAGTACCAACTATAGGAAGGAGTCTTTTTTCCCAGCAGAGGTCCAAGGTCTTATGTGGCTTCTATTCCTGGAGTTTAAGGGCCAGCGGGGTGGAGACTTTCCTTTGATCCCTGGATTATGATATT